TCATCAAAGTCACGGATCACAGGATTAGCCCACTGACCTCCCGTCCCAGGAGCAGCCATGCCCTAGAACATTTGCTCGACTTATCCCTGGAGAGCCCCTGAGGCATCTTGTCTGCTCCTCCTCAAGCATTCAGGAGGCCTCCAGGTCCTCTTAGCCTTTGGAGATTTGACAGCTCCAAGAAAAAAAAAAAAAAAGTGCCTCCAAGACCTTAAAGATAAAGAGGAAAAATAAGAGGTTACAGGGTGGCTTCCCAGATTTGTCTGTCAAAGACATTGTGAATAAGAGACTGTTCTTTGCTACTGTTTGAGACCAATGAGAAGAGAGATGAACCCCAAGGTTTCTAAACACCAAACCCTTAACATCTTGGCTGAGAGCACTGCCTACTTTGCCCCCACCGTGCACTTTTCCCATCAATGCAAAAAGCAGGCTCTCCCTAGGCAACGCTGAGCCCTTGTGCCACCCATTATCCCCCCTTTATTCATTAATTTATGCAATCATTGATTTAACATGTCTTTTATTCATCCATTCAACTCAGCCAATGCTGGGTTTTATGTTAGAGATAAAAAAACAAATGAGTTGTAATAGCAGCCACAAGGAGCCCCCGTGTAGAAGAGCGACACATCCAAAAATAATACGGTGCAGCCTTGAAGGGCTAAGAAAGAGGGACGCACAGGGCACTCAGGAGGGTTGGGGAAGTTAAGGAAGATTTCTCAAGCATCATGATGGCTCAAGAAAGAAGGCTGGAAAGGGGTGGTAAAGGCAGGAAAAGGCAAAAACCAAAGACACAGCTCATGAGACATCTGAGACCTGATGGTCCAATATAGCCAGGAGGAACAGCTCAAGAGAACAGGAGGGCATAGTGATGGGGGCAGAGGGGTGACTAGGCACCAGATCATGAAAGGCCTTGCAGACCATGATTAAGAAGTTACACTTTATTTTAACATACTGTGTGATGGGTGGGTGAGGCTGTCCATTGTACCATTTCTTTCTTTGAATTCTCAGGCATGGTTTGGCAGTGCAAGAACTCTGTAACACTAACAAATTCAATAAAAAGTAAATATATGGAGGGAAAAGTTACATTTTATAATGGTACCAGCAGGTTTAAACAAGGGAATAACTTGACCAGGTTTTCCCTTTGGAAAGTCTCTCTGGCTGTGGAGAAGGGAGGCCAAGGGCAAGTCTGGAGGCAGGGAGATCACTGGGGCTCTGGGTAAATTATCCAAAGCTTCATGGAGACAACCTGAACTGGGCAGCACCTTGGGGCTGGAGCAACAGGAAAGGCTTTGAAGAGGCAGAACCTTCAAATCTTAGATTGAAAATGGAAGATTAGGATCAACAGGTACCATTCTTTTCAATGTGGTTCTCAAGCACAGGCAAAAAAGACTTTTGGACCAACAGGAAGATCCCCCAAGAACCTGATCTTTACCCTTCCAAGCCCCCCCCCCCATCCACATCTCCTCTTTAGTGAAGCCAGCAAGGAAATTCCAGAAGGAAATGATCCTCCTCCCCTCAACACATTTCTCATAAATTCCTTCAGCCAAGAAACTTATGTATCATCATCTGTTACTCCAGAATGTTATCTCCTCAAAGGATGCTTCCCTACTAAATGAAATAGCTGCTCTTGCAATTATGTAGCCCAGGACTTCTCTCCTCTTCTTCATGGTTCCTAGGACATCACGTAAGCACCATGACGACAAGGACTTTGTTCACTGACACATACGAGGCACCCAGAGCAGTGTTCGATACTTAGAAGATAGACAATTAATACTTACTGAGTGAATAAATGAGAACCTCTGTGGATACCTAAGAAGGGCAGCCCTTCATCAGCAATTCAGAGAAAACACCACCTCCACTCATGCATCCAGGACACACAACCATGAGCAATTGAATAATCAGCTATTCTGAATGACAGCGACTCCCTGCAGACCTGCTGGCCTCTGGGCAAGTGTGCCCCACTGGCAGCTCCTGCTTTGGCCGTGGGTTTGTACTGGGAGTTAAAGGAGGCCAGTTCCAGCCAGAGCAAAAATGACTTAAATAGTAGAGTCTGAAACTGAACCAGGACAGAGTTCAGTCTAGAATTATCTCCAAAAGAAGACATGCTAATACTTCTGGGTTTGTAAATGAAAACAGAACAAAACAAAAAATGAAAACACAATAAGCTACTACTATAACGCTTCTAGAATGGCTAGAAATAAAAAGGCTGACAATACCAAGTGTTAGCAAGGAATGGAGACATTGGGACTATCAGACATTGCTGGTGGAGATTCAAAATGGCACAGCCACTTTGCACAACAATTTGGTAGTTTCTTAAAAAGTTAAACGTTCACTTACATTTGCCCAGCAGTCCTACTCCTAGGCATTGATCTAAAATAAGTGAAAACATATATTTACACAAAAAACCTGTATGTGAATGTTTATAGCAGATTTATTCATAATAGTCAAAAACTTAAAACAACCCAAATGCCCCTCAGTTGGTGAATGTATTTTTTAATGTAGTTCACCCCTACGATAAGCACTCGACAAGCAAGAAGAGCAAATTATTGATACCTGCAGCAGCACCAACAAATATATAAAATGTTATGCTAAGTGAAAAAAAAGAGCTCACACTGTAGGATTTCTTCTATACGAAATTCGAGAAATAATGAAATATGTAGTGACGTGAAGAACAGATCGATGGTTGCCAGGGGCTAAAGAGGGGAGACTTGACTACGAGGGGAGAAATAGGGAATTTGAGGAGGTGATAGAAAGTCCCATGTCTACGCAGCATACACAATTGCCAAATCACATCAAACTGTACGCTAAAAGTGGGAGCATTTTTATTATATGTGAACTATATTTCAATAAAGTTGAAAGTAAAAAAAAAATTTAAGTAAAAAAGTAAAAGCAGCATAATCCCAGTGCTATTTGTAATATGCTTAGAAAGGAGTCCAAAGAGATATACATCAGTAATAAACTCTAGGTTGTGAGCATTCAGGACGATTATCCTTTTTTCTTTCTTTTTTTTCTTTTTTTGTATTTTTTCATATTTTTCATATTTCAGGAACCATTGCTATGCTTTATAGTCAGGAAAAATGTCTGTTTTTCAAAACATAACATAGCTTTGTAGGAGTAAAAATAAATATTGATCTTCCAGAGCAAGAGCAGAAATAGTTTTATTCCATAAGTAACTTAAGATCACTTTTAGCAGGATTGAATGGATAATCTTGAATTTTAAACTCCCAGGGGGATGACCCACACACCTTGGTCAACCCCCACCTAGTGAGAGAGGAAGCCTATGCCCCATATGGGGGAGTTATTGACCCATATCTAAAACGCCAGAGACTTCTTACAATACACATCAAAAGTTCAGAACTCAAAGGGTCAACCTACCATTATAGAGTTAATGCGAAGTTTGTTAAAACACCCCTTTGCCTGTTAAAAACTGTGGTTGCTATGTTACCGGTAACATTGAGATAAGGTACCAGCACTCAGCAGAAGACCAAGGGTTAGTTACTCACTTGGAATTTAGGGGGAGAAAGGTCCTTTTTACTTCTTAAAACAGCAGCTATTTTTCTTTGTTAATTGGCACTGCTCTTTCTGGCTGAAATTCCTGGAACCTTGAAACTAACTAGTGCTTGCTTCTGCTTCTAGAAACCTGCACATGCTTTGACGCCTCAGAAGGGGCAGTAAATAATTCATTTGTCTGTCTACTTATGAGTCTGATAAAAGAACAAGGACAGAGCTGATCAGGAGTTCAGCCACTTTTGGACTTTAGTCCCCATGGCTCTCCCGGCTGAAATCTACCCCCTTCCTGTTCTAACTCCAGTGTTGGGGTGATTCTTTCCCTCATCTGGGCCTAGATTCCCACTACACTAGCAGAAGCACACTCACTCCCTCCTCCTCCTGACTCAGGCAGAAGAAATGCAGCTATTTCCAGGACAAGAAAACCTAACACAGAAAATGAGATTGAGCAAGGTTGAGGTGGAAGGAAGAAACAGGACTGCTCAGAACATCCCTAGAAACTGTGACCATAAGCTTCACAACTGAAATCCTTTTCTTTCCAGAATGAAGCTTTGTTTACCAGAGTCTTTGCCCTGACTGTGCCTGGAAGTTCTGACCAAGCCTGATGCCCTCCTGCAAAGTCATTCTAGAACATGGTGCAGAAGGAAGCCAGGGTCCCAGGGATCAGGATGAAATGTGGCTGTTGTCAGCATTCACCACGAGGTTACAAAAACTCAGGTCCCAGTGCACCACGGGTCCTAGAGCTAACGGCGCAAATCTGTAACAGAGAAGCCTAAAGATCCGTGTTCTTAGAAGCCTCCCAAGTGAATCTTATGCAGAAGATGGGAGCTTCGGTCTACATCTGTTTCTCAAACGTCACTGCCTATGACTTATCTGAGGTTGGTATTTAAAGCATGGATTTCGGCCCTGTGGATTGTGATTCTGCATGTCTCAGGGAGGGCCCTGGCATCTCCACTTTTGACAAGCCCCTGGGCAATTCCTTTGCAGGTGATGCACAAACCACATTGTTAAAACCCTAGTGTGGGTGCCAGGGTAAAATTTCCTAACCCAGTCCGCAGGAGGGGGTCAAGGAAGAGGCAAGAGAGTTAATGAGGTTATGCCAGCACGCTGGAATTTATTAAGAGGCTAACAAGGAGTAGAGCTTTTTGCATCTCAAAAGCAGCAGAAAGCCAGGGTGGTCAGTCACAAAGGCACCTTGAAAAAGAGCATGCGCCATAGTACAAGCCATTCCAACTTCATGCAAATAAAGCCCTGGAGAGTCTCCCTTTGAGCTTGGGAATCACTTTGGCCCCAGCTTTAACTTCTGGCCAGGATATGGCTCTGGTTCTCAAAGCCTTGGCACTCCAGGGCAGACGTCGGAGAACAAACTCGCCTCTACAAACAACAGCAGAGCCGGGACACTGTCTTGCGGCTGTGCAAAGTTCTGAAGGTGAGGGGCTCTCCCTCTGGGGCAGATGGAGGCATCCTGTGGGATTGCGTCAATGGTGGGGCAAAGGTCTTCACTTCGTGTCGCACACAGGCGTGGGCTGGCAGCACACAGGGCCGCAGCACCCACCGGAACCACAGCACCCAGAGCCGCAGCACCCGGAGCCGCAGCAGCCGGAGCCACAGCCAGATCCGCAGCAAGAGGAGCCGCAGCAGCCGCCCCCACAGCCGGAGCCCCCGCAGCCGGAGCCTCCGCAGCCCGAGCCCCCGCAGCCCGAGCCTCCGCAGCCGCAGCAAGACGAGCAGCAGGACCCACAGCAGCCGCAGCAGGCCGGCTGGCAGCAACACTCTTCACAACAGTTCTGATCCTGGCCGCAGCAGTTGAAGCAGTCCCCTGGGCAGCACCCCATGGTCCTGGCTGGTCAGGTCGCAGGTCAGTATCGCGGCCCGAGTTCCCCCAGACTGACCATGGCCAGCCGGACAGCTTTTATATCCCCTCACCCGAGGGTGTTGTCACAAGGCACAGGATGCTTCCTTTGTTATTATTTGTGCCAGGGCCTGGAAGAACATCTCATTAACTGGTTGTTTATTTTCCAGCTCTGAGTACCTCAACTCGTAAAAAAAAGCCCAATTCATTCCACCTGCTGTTTGTCCAGAGGGTAAAAATACATGTCCCAAAAGACCTGTCATTGCAGCCAAACAGCCTCACGTCACCAGCCCAGGTGACTCGGGCTCTGGAATGGGGAGCTCGTTTCCCACATCTTCCCTGGTGGCATGTGGACAGAAGACCCTCTTGGTGGTGGGGGCTAGCCCTGGGAAGCCAGGACAGTAACATCTGGATGCCCTGTTCCTTCTGCCACGGTTTAGTCATGTGATTCCTCCTAGGTCAGTGGTTCTCAACCTTCCTAATGCTGCGACCCTTTAAGACAGTTCTTGTGGGTCGCGACCCACAGGTTGAGAACTGCAGTCCTAGGTGGAAATGGCATCCTCCCAGACCTTGCCTACCTGTGAGTAAGGCAAATATTTGTGTCTGCGTGTGGTAGGTGGAGTGTGCCACACGTCTGTTTGGACTTGGTCAGTGAGTATCAATCAGGAGTAATAACCGGCCTATGAAACAAAGAGAGACTCATCATAAAACTGCAAGAGGCGGGACAGCCACGTTCTCTCTGGGTGTGCGGTGGACTGACCAGCACGTGTCTCCCTCAACAGGTGGGGAGAGCTGTAGTCAGAACCTACAATCCTCCAGCCCCAGGCCCTTCCTCTGTACAAGGTGGGAAGAAGAGGATAAGGAAAGAAGGCAGGAAGGCAGGGAGGGACTGACAGAGGGAGAAGACTGCTAACATCCAAAACACTGCATTAAAATGAGGATGTTGCATTCTTTTTTAAGACCCCCAACCTTATAGGCCATCTGGCAGAGTGAGAATTAACAAATAAAACACCCGAGTGTCACCCCAGGGGCTAGCCTCTGGAAAGAGACTAGAATCACAGAGGATTCAGGTTCATGTGTAAATTCTGAGACAGGTCCAAATTTCTGTCTTCATTTTGGGCTTTGGTACCTTGTCATCCTCTTGGGATGACCATGGCAGTCCTGCAGCCTCCAGGCCCAGCCCCCTGACCACATTACTAGTTGGGGTGCAGGTGGGGGAATAAAAAATGCGGGTGGGTGAGGATCTGGATTAAGGAACACAAGTCCTCCCTCTCATTTCCCTTTCCTTTTTAGATAGTCCCGGAAGTCAGGAAGCCCCCAAGGAAGGCTAGAAGGACTGAGGATGGGGCATGGGCTGGGGAGTGAATGGCAAATGGATTACTTAGATCTGATATGACTTCCAGTACTTCACAGGGTGTGGAAGTTTAGAGCTTGGGAGGAATCCCTGAAAGATCATCTGGTGTCCAGAGTTTCAAAGACCCATTTTACATCGTAATTGCCTAGGATGGAGGCTTCCAAAAAATACACATCCCCAAACTGCCTCCTATATTCTGAATCAGAATCTGTGCTCTTGGAGGCGTGAAAAGCAATATATTTTTAAGTTTCTCAGGTGACTCAGATGATCAAACAAGTAACACTGATATAACTGAATATGACCATGACCATCACCCCCGAAGCGCTTGTATTTTATGGAAGATGATACCAAAGCCCAGAGAGGACACATCAGTGATAAACTGGACCCATAACCCAGATGTCCTGCTTCCTGGTCCACAGTTTCTCAAACCAGGCCATGTCCACAGATGACACCTCTGGGCAAATATAATGCACCAATGTCCGTGGCAAATGCATTTATTTATTTGTCTGTCTTTTTATTTACTTAAATAATAGGTCACATGTTCACAGAGTAAAAGGCACAAAAGAATCCATAGTGAAAGGTCTCCCTCATCTTCCAGTCTCTCACCATTGGAGATACTCTACCCTTGCCTCTCACCCATCCCCTTCTCTGCTCCTACAATCACAATAATAGTGTCAATCTCATAGGGCTGCAGTGATTAAATGATACATAGATACCCGTAGAACAATTGGAACAATGATTGGCCACTTATAGTTTGGTAAACATGAGCTATTATACATATACAAGAAGATAGTTGTACAGCTAGACATAGATTTATGGAGTATTTTTTGTCCATTACAGAAATGATATATATGTTTATTACACAAACGATACATATAATGCAGTTAGGATTTTTTCCCCCAGAAAATGATTTTTTTTTAATTCAAGAAACTGCAAATAGGAAACCAAACGCGGATCCCCAAGTTGGGACAAATAATGGCTTACCCCTCCCTGACAGAACAGGGAAGAGGGTGGCCCCCATCCACTCCCCATCAGTGTGGACTGCCCTCCTGTCACTGCTATAACATCCCAAGGACAGGGCCTCACTTGTAATATTTCATGTGTTTGAAAGTTATTCATGTTCCCTTTTCTGTGAATTTTCTTTCCATCTCCATTGTGCATTTTTCTATTGTGATGTTGGTCTTTTTCTCTGATTGATGGAACTCCTTTGTCAAACAGAAAATCAAAGCTTTGTCCCATTTGGATGTTATGAGTTATAAATATTTTCCCCAGATTGTAATTTGCCTTTGACACCATATTCAAATAACAATAATAATATGTTTGCATTGTAAATTTTATACCAGCATTCTGTGAATTTCTGAAAAATTTAAAAAGAGAGAAAAATAAAGATCATCTATAATCCCACAATAAGGATATTTACTGCTAATACTCTAATTTTCCTTTCATTTATTCTAAAAATATATGTAAGAATATTGATATGAATATAGATACATATATATGGTTATATATATCTATAAAAACATACATTAGGCACAAATTTCTAAGTCCATGTTCTAAGGTATATTAAAGATATATCACTATCTTTTTCTTTAATACTGCTTAAAATTTATTTCTCTGTAAACTCAAAAATTATTCAAGATTTCTCTCCCACCACCATCCTTCATCTGGAGGTGCTGTTTGAGTTTGGGGGAGCTTGGACAGTCTCATAGCATTAAAGAGGGAGACAAGAGGTTCACAGCAGGCATCATGTGTTCAATTAGCCATCTCTTGGCAAAGGAGGCACATTATCAGTCCATCCCATATGCCAGGCCCTGCAGTAAGCATTTGTATGTGTTTTCTTGATTAACAATCAAGATAACCAAATACAGTAAGTATTAGTAGCCTTACTTTGTACATGAGAAAAATGAAGCTCATGGGCATCAATTCCTTTAACTAGAAAGGTGCATGGTCCTCTCTAACTCTCTCTCTCCCTCTCATTGTGCTATGGTATCAACTGAGATACTGGGGTTCTCCCCTCTCCCCAGTCCATGAACTCTGCATCCTCCTATCACCCCACTCGGGAGGCTGGAAGGTCCTGGGTATCTGACCACCCATTCTGCACTGTCCCAAAGGTCTACTTGGAATTTATACATTAAGCCTTGACTTAAGTCATTTTCTCTGCATTTCTACAGTAATAATCCTACCCTGAGCACAGTGAATAGGAAAGTCCCCAGTGCTGCCCAAGTCATGAGCAAAAACCAACAGTGAAAGAAATTACAGAAGAGAAACACCTCATCCTGACACTACTCTTTGTACTATTGAAACCACAGTGTACAATTTGGGTTGTACAATAAATACAGTACTTAGCCTGAGAAAATGCTCATGAGTCTATTAATTACTAACTATTATAAGCACCTGAGAAATTGTATTTTCAAGCTGATGTGAACCTTCCCCATTACTACTATGTATTGGAGATCTAAGTTGGTTCCAGTTTTCCAATATTAAAAGCAGAACACTGAAATGAATCTCCTTAAGATTTGAATTTTTTGTGCATCCTTTTTCTTTCTAAAATCAATGCCTAGAAATGTAATTACTGAGTCTTTACCATGTTAATAATCTTAAGGTTTTTAACAAGTATTTAAAAATTATTCTCCAGAAAAATTTTCCCCATCAGTATCCATTTCATAGTGCCTTCACCAATACCAGTTACTTTTTAAAATCTCATTGTTAACTAGGTAGTCCAGTCATGAAGTCTCATGGTATTATTTATTTGTAATTATTTAATTATTAGTGCATTTATTTTATAGGCCACTTTTGGAAATTATCTGTGATGCTGGTTTTTCTGTTGAACTATCCATCTTTCCTAATTTATTTCCATGAACTTACTGACTCCTAAGTGCATTAGCTTTTCTTTGTGTCACCAGAACATGTTGCCAAACTTGTCCCATGGTGTCATTTCCTTTTAATTGTATCTTTCTACATGGGCAAATCTATCTTTTTTATGTCCTTCCTGTTGATTTTAAGTTTTGAAAGTTCTTCCCCCTCCCCAAATTAGAAAACTGTCCACTTTTTTTTCTTCTAGTTTTTATGGTTGCATTTTATACACTTAATACTTTTATCCATCAGAAACTTATTTTGGTGCAGATACCTACCTCGACATACATTTGCATGTGGTAGATACAGCTTTATAAAAACATCTTGGTTTAACTGGGCATGGTGAATCTGGGGAGAGAAGACTCCAGTCATCTCTGGATGGTGGGATCTTTCCAGAAACATCCCTTTGGGGACACAGGGATTCAGCAAGAGATTTCTGGACCCCATAAGGAGGACAAAAGCAGTGGAGGACTGGCAAGTGTTTGCATGTGTTCGTTAGGTCTAATCCCACCGGCAGCTTTAAGTATAGTAGCAGTGATATTGCAAACTGGAATAGGCCTTAACTGTGAGCTGTTTTTGGTTTTTTTTTTGGACTTGGCACTCAGTTGAACTACCTTGGGAGAACCTGGGCAAGAGTGCAGAGGACTTTAAGTGTTGTCTAGGGCCCCAGACTGAGCCACTGAGCCAGACGGAGCTAATAGTGTTCAGCTGTGGGCCACACAGAGCCATTGTGGGAGAACTGCCCCAGCAAACTCTGCCCTCAGGGTAACAGAGCA